CCTAAACTTAAATTAAACATAAAAATTAACTTAGTTAAAGAAAATTATTGTCATAATTATCCTCTTAATTATGATTTTATCTTAATAATTAAACTCTAAACTTAGTTTAAGTCTAACCTAACTTAAACCTAACTTAATTCAAATTTTAAAACTTTATTTAGGTCTAACCCAACTTAGACCTAATTCAACTTAAAATTTTAAAACATGAATTAGGTCTAACCCAACTTAGACCTAACTCAATTTAAAGGTAAATTCAACCAACGTATGACCTAACTTAGACCGAACTTAATTCAAAACATTACACTTAACATAGGCTTAACCCAACTTAGAACTAACCCAACTTCAAATTTCAAACTATGCTTGGGTCTAACATAACTTGGACCTAACTCGACTAAAAATTTAATCATAATTTAAGTTTTAACCCAACTTGGACTTAATCCAAACTTAACCTAAAACTCAACTCAAGTCTAACCCAACTTAGGCTTGACTTAAACAAATCTTAAGCTTAACATAAAGCTTAACATAGGTTTAACCCAGTTTAGGTCTGAACCCAAACCCAACTTTAAACACAACAAAGACCTCAACCAACTTAACTTAAATCTAAACTTAATTCAATTCTAACCTAAGTTAGGCTTGACTTAACTAAATCTAAACATAGTTCATGTATAATTTAAATTTAACTTGACATAACTAAACCTAAACTTAGTTCAAGTATAACTTAACTTGGACTTGACTTAACAAAATTCTAAACTTATCTCAGACTAGACTCAACTCAAGGAAAACTTAAACAAACATAGGTCAATCCAGCCTAATCTAGGTTCATCCAAATCAAACTTAAATCAAACTTGGGTTAACACATCCTAACCTGAGCTGACCCAAATCAAACTTGGGTCAACCCAACCTAACTTGGGCTAACCTAAAATCAAACTTCTAAACAAACTTCAGTCAACCCAACCTAACATGGGCTATCCAACATTAAACTTAAGTTAAGTCTCAGTCAACCTAGGCTAGCATAAAATCAAACTTGTACAAACTCGGGTCAACCGGCCTAACTTGGGCTAACCCAAATCAAACTTAAACAAACTTGGGTCAGCCCAACCTAACATGGGCTAACCCAAAATTAAATTTAAACAAACCTGGGGCAACCCGACCTAACCTGGGCTCACCTAGATCAAACTTAGGTCATTATAGCTTGACCTGGTCTAACCCAAATCAGCTTTAATCCAACACGGGCCAATCCAGATCAACTTAAACTAATTCAAGCAAACCTCAGTTAACCTAAATCAAAGTCAAAATTGACAACAATGAACAAAGTTAAAGAGTGTTTGATCTCTCATAAGAGAATAAAATCACACTAGATTTAAAAATGCACTATGGGGACAATAGGAGTTGAAATGCAAATTTTGTAATAAGCGTAAATGACATAACATAAAATACACCCTAAAAGTCATTAAAACTTAAACTTCAACTATAAAACACAATCAAGTCTAATAAGGAAGTTTGAAGGAGGCAACCCATGACATTTGGAGGACAAAACCATGAGATCTTGGTCGAGTCATTTCAACATAAAAAAAATAATAAAAACACAAAAATTAATCAGCAAAGAAGTCTTAAGCAACCTAAAATCTGAAAAAGACACTAAAACTTAAATGAAACTCTAATGAATAAAGATCACCGAATGCAACTTTAACCCTGCTACCGAATCTGTGAAGATCTCTCAGATGACACAACTCCATGTTATTGACAACAATAGTCCGATCAGAGTAGATTTAAACGTCGCTTTGGACAAAATAGATTGGGGAACCCAACAACCCTAGGACGATGAAAAGCCATCGACATCTTGACCTGACTATCTAATATTTAACACATTAATAATCAAAATAAACATATTCATTTACATTAAAATGAAGCATTCCAACTTTGTTTTCCAGCGTTGCTAAAGACAAAAAATAAAATATTATCTTAGATTTACTTTACATATTATTAGAGTGTGTTAACTCTGTTTTGCAGAGCTGTTATAACTAAATAAGTTGTTGTAGTAACCTACGATCTTTCTTTGAGTCTTCCTTTTGTTTTCTAGAGTTTAGAAACTTTTATAATCAATTGACTATAAATATCCAAACTATCCAAAATAAGACAAAACATGAAGCAAAAGATGAACCTTACCTAAACTATCAACGATAGTTTGGATGATGTTAGTTGACAAGTCTAACTTAAGTTAAGGTTAGCACCCATACCATCAGTTTGTCTTCATTCCAAAGGTTTACCCAAATTATAGGTCGATAATTACATTTTTGTCTTTTATTTATATCACTATTAGACTAATCTAAGGACTAAACCCTCTACTCCAACCTAAATGAATTCAACTTAACTTTTTAAAATAAAACTCGTAACTAAAACTAAACTACATAACCATAGAAACATTATATGTCTAAACAAACTCAATTGGCATCAAATAAAACTGAATAGAAATCCCTTTTTTATTTAAAGAAATGAATAATAACAATATCTACAGTTATAGGCATAACATAGTGCTTATGTTCCTTGTTTTCGAGCTCTCGCTCATTGCATTGAAAAGAGTGCTTTGACCTGTTAGAATCACTACCTTACAGAGTGAGTTCCGCCAATGCATATCGTTTAGTCTTTTGAATAGACCTTCTATTTATTAATCATCAAAGACTTGTATAACTCATTACACAGCTTGCTTCGACACACTCAACACTAAATAAATAAAAACATTAGTGTGGTGAGGTATAACACATTTAAATTTGAATTTTTGAAATATGTTCACATTAGTCTTAGAATATTATGCATAAGATACATATTTAGGCAACTTGATTTATAATCAATTTGTATGACCTATTACACATAATAAATAACTACCAACCCTATCTTGCATCATCGAGATCAGTCATGCATGGTTTTGAATGCTATTACATGGTTTAGATGGTGGCTCATTTCAGACAGGTTTGTAAGTCCAGTTTATTCTATGTTTCCCTTCTTTTAAATTAGGATTCTAAGGTTTCACTTTTCTCAGTGCACTTTACCCTAAGAATTTGAGGTTGCTCATCTAGTCACAAAATAAATCCTTACATTTAGGGTTCTACATGATTGTAAACCGTGTAGTACAAGCCTAACATTTTAATAAAACACGAGGATAAAAACATTAAATTTCTCTTCAAAAGCGTTAAGTGCCAAACAACAGGATAGTCCGAGATACTTTTGAGGTTTCCTCGATATCTCCAGGTGTCCCTTACCATTTTAACAACTATTCAGCTTTTGAGCTTTTCCTATTTGAGAATCTAATGCCCAATTGTGGAAGTCTAAACTCAGAAATATCTTGAGGACAAAACCATAGCCTTAATCAAAATTTTTTATATGTAACTTCGGTTGCTTATGATGTGATTAACTATTAAGGGCTGCCCTTATAGGAAGAAGAAGACCCCGCTATCTAGTTTTCAAATTAGATAGGGAAAATAATATGTCGGGTTTAAACCGTAGACTAGTGCAGATATCCAATGTTTTCTTAGTTCAAAAAATCAAACCCATTGTAAAATTGTATTTCTACCTTTCGATGTGGTTTACTACTTTTGATTACGTGCTTCATTATTTGTTCAACCAAAATCTTCAAATCTACACGACTTTCAAAAGCCTCGTGTTGAAGTGAAAATAAAATCTGACAGCCATGTAGATGCAAGGAGAAATAGACGTAGCATACTGAGAACCATCCAATACACCTTATTTATAAGGGTAATGGCCATGGAAAACCAAAGAGTCTAATCATTGCATTAAATTATGATTATTAAGATTTACTTTATTGTTTTAAAAATTTTCATGTTCTTATAAGAGTTATCGCTATGAAGGAGCAAGGAAAAAAAAACATACTATGTATGCCCAAAAAAAATTATTTGCATGAATCTCACGTCAATCTAACAATCCAGATCAAAGAAAACATGACAAAGATCCTCCCTGAAGAAAAGCTTCAAATCTTCGCGAATCCGACTAGTAGAAAATCACTCAGTCTACTGATAGCCAGCTGACTGAAGGAAACCTATTGACAGGAAGTCAATATAACGATGAAAGGGCCACCCAAGCAAACATGAGTAGGCCTCCATGCCAACGTCCAAACAAAGATATAACACCTTAACAATCTGGCAACTTTCAATGTGAAACTCTCTCAACAACTCTCCAAAAGATCCCTAAAGATCCCCAAAGTTCACTAGAAATCACCAAATAACAATAATCAAGCAAGTCGATTGGACGCTTGAAAGCTAACCAACTACTGCACTGAAAAACAAACCGACTTCTTAAAGCGAATGTTGATCAGTGTCTAGACGAAAGCTGATCGAAACCAGCTCAGCCAGCCGACCCAAGGACCTCTCAAGCAAAATGTTCAGGTGGGGAAATCCCTATAAAACCCCTTTAATGCACTGATAAAACATAAAATTTTATATTGTCCCTCTATATCCAACCATAAGGCTCTTGGGCACATGACAAATTTTGATTCAACAGATTCAAAACATTACTATTTACAATTTTAGTATCATATTTCGTCCATTTTATAAATTCTCACTCAAAGATTAAAATTCATGATAAAGCCCCCACCCATTTTTTTTATTTTTACCAATTCTCAATTATTTGATTATGACACACATAATTCCATTTATTGAATAGCTTAAAAATATCATATGATTATTATTCTAATAAATAAAAATATTTTAAATGCTATGTATATAATTATCCTTTCACTATTTAAAATTAAGAAAGTGGTGTTTTAAAATGATATTAAAAATTCTGGTGATCTGAATATAAAAGATAAATTTAGATGTTAAATATCTAAATAAATAAGAAATGTGTGGTATGTAATGCATGAATAAATTAATATAAAATAAATATTGATTAGTTAGAACAAAAAAATACAAAAAATTCCTCAAATTTCTCCAATAATAGAGGCGGTGCGAGTACTTTTCCGTGATCTGTTGAAAAGCAGTGGTGAAAACGGCAATCATATTCTCCGCCAGAGAAAAAACGGAGACCGGTGCGGAGAGCTTCCCTATTTAATCCCCTCTCAGGGTTCGCCCCTCACCATGAGTTACCCTTGACCTCACAATCTTCTCGAAAGATAACCTTCATCTAAATCATGGCGTCCATGTCTACCTCTTCCCTCTCCGCCGCCTCCAGATCCCTCCTCTTCGACCACCATCACAACTCCTTTCTCGGTGGCGGCCTTCCCACCCGCGTAACTCCGGTCTCACCCGCCGCCTCCGTTCGCTCCCCCTCCATATCCGCCAAATATGACATCCAATCCTTCAAATTCGAACCCATCCGCGAATCCATCGTATCCCGCGAGATGACCCGCCGCTACATGACCGACATGATAACCTACGCCGATACCGACGTCGTCATCGTCGGCGCAGGCTCTGCCGGCCTCTCCTGCGCCTACGAACTCTCCAAGGACCCCTCCATCCGCGTCGCAATCATCGAGCAATCCGTCTCCCCTGGTGGCGGGGCCTGCCAGCTCTTCTCCGCCATGGTGGTTCGCAAGCCAGCCCATCTCTTCCTTGACGAGGTTGGTGTCCCGTATGACGACAACCACGAGTCCTACGTGGTCGTCCGCCACGCCGCGCTGTTTACCTCGACCATCATGGCTAAAGTTCTTGCCCGCCCCAACGTGAAGCTGTTCAACGCCGTGGCAGCTGAAGATTTGATTGTAAAGCAGGGGAGAGTAGCCGGAGTGGTGACTAATTGGGCGTTGGTTTCGATGAATCATGATACCCAGAGCTGTATGGATCCGAATGTGATGGAAGCGAGGGTTGTGGTGAGTTCTTGCGGCCATGACGGTCCTTTTGGGGCATCAGGGGTGAAGAGGCTGAAGGCGATCGGGATGATCGATCATGTGCCGGGTATGAAAGCGCTTGATATGAACACGGCGGAGGATGCTATTGTTAGGCTTACAAGGGAAGTCGTACCCGGTATGATTGTTACAGGTATGGAGGTTGCAGAGATTGATGGGGCTCCCAGGATGGTAAGTCTCCGGCATCTTTTACCTGCATCAAATTTATTTATTTATTTTCTTACTTAGACTGCATTCTTTCGCTCTTTTTTCCGTGGATCTGAGATGAAGAAATTATAATCACAGCTTTTATGGAGGATATGCACTCAATTTATTACATATTCCCTTATTTATTATTATTTAATATTTTTCTTTTTATAACTATGAGTTGTGTTATTTTAATTCTAATTTTTAAGCAGAATTCAGAAACATTGGGGGTGCATGAACGCCCTACCTAATTCTTTCAAGGAATTCCTAAAATATAATTTCTGAATAATATTTAGTACAAAATCAAATTTATGTAAATTACATAAGACGATGCATAAGCGATTTTTCCTTTATGCTACCAAGAATTCCGTATAGAATTTTTTTTTCCTTATTAACAGTGTTAAAATTCCCAAAATATAATATTATTATTTAAAACTATAATTTGTATATGTAACCACCAGATGTTCATTGAAAAAAAAAACTTTGATGCAATTTGTTAAGAGAATATTTTATTATTATTATTTAATGTATATAATATTATATTTTTGTAAATATTTGAGCGAATTTATTAAATTTCAATTGATTTTAATGAAGGGACCGACTTTTGGAGCGATGATGATCTCGGGACAGAAGGCAGCGCACTTGGCTCTTAAGGCCCTCGGAAGGCCAAATGGGATCGACAAAACCGTTGGATCGGTGCATCCTGAAATGGTGATCGCCTCATCCGACGGCGCGGATGTGGTCGAGGCCGGGATTCCTACTTAATACTCTTGTTCGGAAAAATAGGTCCGGAGCACGGCGTGGAACGCGTGGTACCACTTTCTCTCATAAAAGAGTCTCGTGAATCGTAATCGTTTTTTTCTGCTTTTGTTTTTCGGAAGTTTATGTAATATTTAATTTGCCTTTAGATTAAGACATCCACTTTGTTATTTAATTGGGATTATCATTGTATTTTAACTCTGGGATTCTCTTTTATTTAATTAAAAGTTTTTTTTTTAATATATATTTTCAATATTGCCACAATGCCGACGGCCACCTACTTTCTGCACGCTACCATCTTATCACAACCACATGTCCCCCCTCCGCAATGTTTGAACAAGAAAGATAATCGTCCCTTCAAAATTTTTGTTAAAGCTTTTTATTATTATAGAATATATGAAAAGAAATTTGCCTAATGATTCTATCACTCTATAAAATATTTAATCATAAATATATTTTTTAGTAATTATATCTATAATTATTTTGAAAATTTTGAACTAAAAGTAAAAATAGTATTTAATTGACCTTTTTAAAACATGATTTTGATATTCAAAATTTTACTCTGTCAATGAGATGAAATTAGAAAGAGATTTTAAACGATTGGATGATGTCTGTCCGGTTTTTGAAAATATTCTCCATTATGTAGAGAAGATCTGGTTGTCTTTTTCTTCTCTGTAATTTATTTACAAATTAATCAGATTTTTTTGTTAAATCATGATATATATATATATATGTCACATCTATTATTTAATTTGATGTATTTCAAGCTTAGAATGATGATAAATGTTCATTAATAAATGTTATAAATAAACAAGCTTTGAAAGCGAAATATCATAATAAGGAAAGATATTATTGCAGCGTAGTATTATTTTAATATTGATATTTTCATAATCACTTAAAATAAATAATTGCAAAAAATGATTAAGAGATTTAAAGAACACATTAGAGCATTATTGATTCTTAATTTTGTATAAAATTCATAATGTTTGTCTTTTGGTAAAAAATACAATTTTCTTGTGGTCAATATACACTAAAAATGATCTGTTGGGATGATCAACATTCAAATGTCAAATCGATTGCAATCGAAAAATTGGAAGAAACATGCCAAATAAATTTTTGATAAAATTAAATTGATTGAACCAAAATGTAATTCAAAGTTTGGTTATAAAGAAACCAAAATTTAATTGGCAGTTGAAGTTCGTCTATGAATAAACATCAAGATTTACATATATGTTGTCACTTTGGCATGGTAGGTAGGTCCTATGCTGAAAGCCTTGCATATGTGTGTTTAAGTGGGTGAAAAAGAATTTATTTTAAAAAACCATAATTGTGTATCATCACTTTTTTTCAATCAAATATTGTGTGCTTTGTAAATTTTTATTTTTTTTAGCGAAAAAATTAAATAGAATAGTAAATTTTAATAAAATTTTTTTTATTTAGTTTATTTAGGGCCACTTAATATGGCGCCCAATCTCCTTCATTGGACTGTCATTACCCATTCATTATTGTCAAACCACCACAACCTCATGTCGACATGTGCCATTGTAGCTTGATGTACCTCCAATGTAAATTTTTATTTTTTTAGCTAAAAAATTAAATAGAATAGTAAATTTTAATAAAATTTTGATTATTTAGTTTGTTTAGGGCCACTTAATACGTCGTCAAATCTCCATCATTGGACTGTCATTGCTCATTCATTATTGTCGAACCACCACAACCTCATGTCCACATGTGCCATTGTAGCTTGATGTACCTCCACAATCGATTTCTCATTACCAAACTACACTGCTTGATCACTACCATTGGATCAACATTATATCGTAAACACTATCAAATTGCCACTGTTAAATAGTTGCCAACATAACTGAATTATCATTTTATGATCATAATCATAGGACTATCACCGCATGGTTACTATCATTGTATTATTGCTCAACCATTATTTTTTAATAAAAGTGACATGACCATCCCCTTCAAATAATTATCACCCGACTATTGCCAACATAAATCATTAGTCAGCCGCCATCGTCAAATCATTATCACCTTGCCATCATCACCAAATCATTAGCATTCGAATGTCATTGTCCAATCTACGACAAAATATTGTGTCCGGAGTTCGAACGCAGTTTTGTATCTGGACTTCAATAATGCGGCGTCATTTGTGAAGTAGTGGGGCCCGGTTTCATGAATTAAGAAAAAGTGAAAAAACTTTTGTTTTTCTTGCGCGACCCAACCCGTAGACTACCTGTTGCATCGAAAAAAATGAGTTATATTGTGGTGATATTTTGGTAGTTTTCTATTGATTTTTTGGTGTTTTTTTGGTGATATTCTCGTAGTATACTTGTGGTATTCTAGTGGTAATTTGTTGGTATTATGATGATATACTTGTAGTGCTCTGGTTTTTTTGTGGTGGTATTCATGTGATATTATTGTGGCATTCTGGAGATATTCTGGTGATATTTTGATTATATTATGGTGGTACTCTTGAGATATTTTGGTGATATTTTTTTGATATTCTTGGGTATTCTTGTGACATTCTAGTTGTATAATAGTGATATTTTGGTGGTATTGTCGTGATATACTTATGATAATTCACTGGTATATTTGTCGTTTTTTAACAAACTAAAACTTATTGAAAAGTAAGTTGGACACGGAAGTGCACGTATGAAGTAGTGTGCGATCTAAGAGTTTGTGTATCGATCCCATAATGAAAGGTTCAACAATTATATCTGCAGAAAAATCTCTAGTTTAGGAATTTGATGAACCTAGCTTGGTGGTATTGCAAATAAGATTTTAAGTCCTAAAATTCTAATAAATGATAGTAGATCACAGCCAGCAGGAACAGAAAAAGAAGGAAAATCTCAAGAGTTCTTTCAAAAGAGATGAGAGTAGTGCCTTTGTAATTCAGGGATTGTAATGATCGTAGATTTCCTAAATATTTTACTATGTGATTGTTGCTAATCGGGAATACATTACTCCTTATGCCTATGTCTAGGTCAAAAAGACCTCAGAATCCTTGAAGTTGAGGCTTCCTCAATCCCCATGACATTCCACATGAATGTGTCAATCCTTTGGAAAGATTGTAGAATTTCACAGGAATACGTCCATCCTAGTCCATCCTCTCTGAATTTTGTAGTTAAACTTTCATTTCTACTACATAAAGGTTAGAGGTCATAACTTCATGAAATTAATTAACATTCTAGTAGGCCAGACTAGGAGTAAATGCAGTTCATAGGTTAACCAAAAATATATGACAAGAAAGCACAAAAAATCGCTATAAGAAAAACATCCTAGAAAATCACAATTAAATTCACTACACATATATCACAGAGACACAAAAAAGAATTTAGCCACGCATCATCGAGAAAATGAAAAAGAAAGAAAACTATACATGATTTCATTACAATAAATAAATACATGTTAAACTTACAAATATTCTTGTCTTCCCTCGAACAACAGCTCTCTCCCTCTCACACAACTATCTTAAAAATTCAAGACCTAGATAAAACTCGCCTATATAGGTTTCAAATTAATGAAGAAAACCTTTTTAGATGCACTCTAATATCTCCCAAATCTTGCCTATAGCCATCTTCAACTGTCCTCTGAACCAGAAGCTCCCCCAAGAAGCCTTAAAAATCATTCTTATTACAAAAACCATGGGTTATCAAGCAAATATCCTTCAAAAAATGATTTGCCAACCACTGGCATGGTCACGTCTGACAATTAAATGGGAAGGCGTAGTCACACCTAACCCAACATGGTCATGACGCTGGTCTTGAAATGTAGCATTGTCACACCACATTTTGACATGTTTGCATCTGTTGCAATTGAACATATGGCTTTTTCATGCCTCCTCTAGGAATGGTCACGCCACTATTTTGCTGGTTTTTCTCATTCCAAAATTGCTCTTATTTAACACCTATAACGTACACAACATCGAGAAATTTTCTTTTCAAGTGTAAATCTATGATAAATAGGGAAAAATAATATGTAAAATATAGGGAAAAACACAGGTAAAATCACGTAAAATTAATGTATGTCAATACCCCCAAACTTACCCTATTACTTACCATCAAGTAATCAAATAGTTCAATTGAGATCATATGAGAATAATAGGTACTTCTATAGGGTTCTAATTTCTTCAATTTTTTTTTATTAAAGTGAATTAAATGTGTTTAAATTTCTTTTTGCGATTAATTATCTTTAACGATTAACAAAATGACACTTTCCTTAATTATCTTCGCTCTGCACTTAAGAAATTTCATAGATTCCCAAATTGGTGAAATTTATAATGTCATTCAGTAGTCTTAAATGTCATTAAAGTCAATTTTAATGGATTTAACTAACTGAATATTACTTAAATTTTTTCTAATGGATTTAATGGATTTTTGTTACACCAACCTTAAGCTTCTTCTCAAAGCTTTTTACCTTTTAACTTTTTTTTCCTAAGAATTATGATGCTTGGTTTGCAACTTTTTATCTTTCATTTCTCATTTAGAATATGATGAAGAGTAGTATTCCTTTGGAAATAAATTTAACTATGATATCTTAGTGCGACGCCTTTAGGTTATCCCGATAGTTCAAATTCAATTTAACATTAAATTGGTTAAAATGAACTACAAAAGACTTTAAAATACTTTTTTGTTTGCTACTTAATATATAAATTACACTTCATTTAATAATCTCTAGATTTCTATAAGTAAAAATTGAAGTCGTTAAATTTTGAAATCTTATTATTAAATCATTATGCCTAATCTTTCCTAAATGACATTTATCCTCATTTTAAAAGAATTTGATAAGCAATTTGAATATGTTACAATTCCTAGTAGGAGTTATCTTGTAAATATTGAATTTGTTACTGAGTTATGCAAACATTTTCTAGGTTTGTAAAAAGTTACATTTTTCTCCCCCAAACTTTCTTCTTCCAACATATTAATAACATAAAGCAATAGTAAATAAAATAGGTAAGTGCAAGTAAAAACCAATGCAGGGATAGTCACAAGAATCTCATGAAGTGTAGTACAAAATTTAGAAAATAAAATCATCCGAAGAGAGTAAGTAAGAAAACACAAGGACATACAAATCTCGCTGTATATAAAGATCAGACAGTTAGAGAACTTTTCCATAGCCACTCAATAGGGATAATAACACAATAAAAAAAAAAAACAAGAACTCACGCCAATAGCCACACAACAACA